ACAGAAGGTAGAGATCAGACTATAACATGCTTTACTGATGGTTATTATTACAGATGGGCCCGATGAACTTACTTTCTCACTAGATGTAACACGTATCAATATAACAGAAGGTAGAAATCAAACTATAGCATGTTTAACTGATTGTTATGTATGTAATTATAAATGGACTGGACCAGTTTCATCATCAAGTAAAGATCTTGTATTGACTGGAATAAAAAGAAATCAGGAAGGAAACTATAGATGTGAAGCTACCAATATTAAAAATACCATCTCTAAAACAAGATCTAAATTTATACAAGTTAATGTACATTGTAAGTATATCACAGAATTAGTTACAATCATGACCACACCAGTCTGTTAAATGGCTGGATATGAACAGACCAACGAAAAATGTGAAGACAATATACTCCTACAAATTGTGTGACATAAAGGACACCTGATTGTTCTTTGTAAAAGGGTTTTTTGTGTTTCAGATCCTCCAGATATATTCAGTTGGATATAAACAGACTAACGGAAAATGTGAGGACAGCATTGTTTGCTGCATGGGCGTAAAAAATTATGATTGTGTTAAAGAGCATTAATGGCTTTACTTCTGTTTCAGATCAACCTGAAATAACCAGTATGACATCTGATGCCGTAACTGACGAAGGTGATGAAGGTTCTGATGTTATGTTTAACTGTAATGTTAATAGTAAACCGGTATCTACTATAACCTGGTCATCTTCTACTAGTACTGATACTAACATTGGTCAAAAGTGGACATTAACTCAAGCTAAATGTCAGGATACAGGAATCTATACATGTACAGCTAATAATGGTATTGGTCAATCAACTTCTAAATTACCATTAAATATCAGATGTAAGTCTATATTTAGTCAGTATACTATAATCTATACATGTACAACTTTTAATGGTATTGGTCAATCAACTACTAAATTACCATTAAATAGCAGATGTAAGTCTATATTTAGTCAGCAATCTATACATGTACAGCTAATAATGGTATTGGTCAATCAACTACTAAATCTTTACCATTAAGTATTAGATGTAAGTTTATATTTAGTCAGTATTCTATAATCTATACATGTACAGTTAATAATGGTATTGGCCAGACAATTACTAAATCTTTACCATTAATTATTACATGAAAGAGTATATTTAGTCAGTATTCTATAATCTATACATGCACATCTACTAATGGTATTGGTCAATCAACTACTAAATCTTTACCATTAAATATTAGATGAAAGTATATGTTCAGTAATTGAATTGATACCATAAAGTTTTGTTTTAGGTTCACCAAGAATAAATGCCGATTTAAAAGATGTAGTAATGAATAGAATAGGTGAAGAAGTAACATTACTTATTGATGTTAAAGCCTATCCTAAACCTAGTTTTAAATGGATACAAGAATCAACAAGACAAGAATTAACACCAGATACAACTCAACAAGTAGCTATCAATAATTATATTTCAAGTTTAACATTCACAATACAACAATCATCATTTGATAACTACATTGTAACTGTTAATAATGGTATAGGTTGTGATAAAAGTTACACTATAAAGATTATTGATGGAGGTAAGTTCCTAAATAGTTAAATTCAAGATTGGATGGAATTAAATTTTACGTCTGGTTTTCTTATCCTGAATGGTCTACCATGCAATAGACAATAGATGCAATTCAGTCTAGAATATCAGTACTAACTTACTAGATTTTCGAAGAAGTTTTTAAAATGGATAAATTTCTTTGTTTCCACAGATCCTATAACAAAGGCGGATCCTAATGAACAACCTGGATATCAGGAGGTTTTAGGAACTGGTATTGGAATTGGTATTGGAATATCTGCTGTTATTGTAATTCTGGTTTTACTGACCATATTTATATATAGAAAATATCATCCAGGTATTGGTTATACTGTACTTATCGTGAATATTTGGGGGATCTTTAAAAACGAACTATATGAAATTATTTTGAGGATTATTCCATCATAACATTAAAGAGATCAAGTCAATTTCAGTAGCATTCTGTGAGAATTTGACAATTATTTTCATTCTCACGTGCAATTTACAGATATCAGAGCTTTATTAGTAATACTACAATGTCAATGTCATTATTTCCACGAATGCGAAAAATGTTTAAACTTCTCATGAACGTTTTATTTAATTGTAAGTGAGTCGGGTGTCCTATTTCATTTACTGAAGAGTATTTATGATAGTTGAAATTGAGTTAATATAACACATTCTGTCACTGCTTTCATTATATTATTTTATTTTATAGCCAATAAGAAATTACCAAACGAAAGGTGAGTTATATTTTCTTTGCGGATCTGAAACTTCTATTTCATAGACCTACAATAGAGAAATAAACATTTTCAATCTGTAAAGCTATGGTGATGATGATGCGCTTGTCGACATTAAAGTCATTATATAGTAACGATCATAAAGTCTTTTCACACAAATAATGTTTGCTAAATGTAGATAAGTTGTGATCAAAACTGATAAAAACATATTTGCTCATTTTACTTATGACATATTCTTACTTTTCAGTTATGCAACGTTTTCTAATAGAAATCCTGAAGGTATATTATCACGAATTTATCAAAATTTACACATTCAGTATGACTATCAATACTTTACCCAAAACGGTCCATCGTGCAAGTTCTAATAGCGCTCTTCAGCTTAACGGCGGAAACAGCCGAGGGTCGCCGAATGTAAAGGCCAAATAATGTAATTTTTTTTTCTAAATTATTAGTTATTATGCACGCTTTTCTTCCTAACAGATAGAACATATGAAGATTTAAATACGCGTCCTGAAGTTAATGATAACAATCAACATAATTCTGGAGATGCAAAAGAATATGAAAATATGAGAAGAAATTAAATATAACAGACTTTAACATCTGATACAGTACGAGTAATATCCAATACCAACACATTAAATATAACAGACTGAAATATCTGATACAGTAATAGTAATATCCAATACCAACACATTAAAGATAACAGACTGTAATATCTGGTGCAGTACTAGTAATATCCAATACTAACCCATTAAATATAACAGACTGAAATATTTGATACAGTACTAGTAATATCCAATACCAACACATTAAATATAACAGACTGTAATATCTGATACAGTACTAGTAATATTCAATACTAACACATTAAATATAACAGACTGTAATATCTGATACAGTACTAGTAATATCCAATACTAACACATTAAATATAACAGACTGTAATATCTGATACAGTAATCGTAATATCATTATGTATGCCTTAAATAAATGAAAACATTTTTCTCTGTTATTATTTTTGTATATGCTGTTACTTTGGCAACTCTTTTATTAATATACTTATATATAATTAATCTATTCTTTGTTACTGTTCATCTAAAACCATATATTTGCCATTCTCATAATTTCTAAGTGTATTTATGATCAATTCGTGTTATTGTTCTAGTTTTACATTAAATGTTTATGTATTCCTATTCAAATTACGTTATATTGTTGGTATTTTTTACAAACAAAATTAAATCAGAATTCAGGTTGTTTTTCTCTTTAACTCTGTATTCATGTCTCTTTTTATATTTACATTTTTTGTTTTATTTTGTTTAAGTTTATATGATATGTCGAGAATAGATATTAGTGCACATTCGGATTTGATGCAAAGCATAAAAACTTTGTTTTGAGGAAGTACTAAGTCTGTAAGTCCGCCTTTTGTAGTTTCTATTTATTCTGAACAAAATAAAGTTGACAGCTAATTAAAGGTTCAAATTGAACCCGGATGTGCAAAATACATGAGATGAGACCACATTCATAATTTCTTTATATTGGGAGACAACTTTATTTATTAATTGATATAAAGAATGTATGACAGTTTCTATTGCAGTCAGAAGTCACCTTGAATTTCGAATTATAATATCACAATTGAGAGGGTGAGGTCTGGCAATCAAAATAAACTGAGCAAATCAAAAATAAGAATCGTAGTAGCACAACAAATTCCATAGTGTAACACTACTTTGATGGGTTTTACGGGTTAAGCGCACCTTTTCGGCCTTCTATATGCTAAAAGAACAAAATATAAGCATCTTAGTGTTCTACGGCTTTATGGTCTGGTGGCTTCGAAACGTGATCTTCTCGGTCTTTTTGTGTTGTGTTGTTCAACCTTTGATGTAACTTGGGCAACAAACACCCCAGGGTCACCAGAGAAGTACCTGAGAAACCTCTCAGTTAATAAGAAGTAATATTATGGAGATAAACGAACTTTTTGTCAAATTTGTCAAACATTTAGTTAGTTTCTTGAATAGGATTTTGGTAGTTGAATGAACGACTTTAATCTGTTAGTCTTTAATTGAGCTCGGGAGTTATTCTTTGGTAAGGACCAGGAGACAGTGTTGAGGTTCAAAAGGTTGCTAAGCGAGATTACAGTGTTTCTCAAGAGAACCCTACCTGCCCTCTGGCGTGCTTACCATCTAAACATTGCTACAATATAGTAAAAATGCATTAGCATACTATAAAGGTATTTACAAGGGTAAGAGGAAGTAAATTGAAACGCTACACACTAGTAGGCCAATTATATGACAGGAGAAGATCGTCTTGTTGAATATTATTCAATAACATGGAGTATATATTTATATTAATAGTTATAGTTAATTTACCAGTACTAATTACAGGTAAGAGATGTATTTACATTGTATCTCATATAAAACATAAGACCAGTTTCATGTATAAGAAAAGTCTTTGTGTAGACTGAAATGACATAACAATAATAGTAAATATTAGACTTTAACTTGCACTTAATGCATATATAACAAGATAATAAGATAACATGAATCGCACTGTGATTTAGATTTAACCTATCTTTATGATTGATATTTAACTTTTACCTTCACAATATTTTAAAGATATAGAATCTTTATATAAATAGTGGAATTCTTTTTCGTTTTGTATATTTTGTTAATTCAAGCAAATCAGTAAGTATTCTATATTGAGAGGTAGAATGATTGGTTCAAACTTAAATACTCATCATCATATCGATTAAGCAAGGTTTGGTCCAAAACTTAGATTGACTGTTGGTTGATAAAATGGTTGAATTCAGAATTTACTAATGGAATGATTTTATCTAAATTAATGTAAATAATCTTAGATTGAAATATTGTACCAACGACAGTTTTGTGAGCTGAAATCAAAATCAAATGGAATGAAAACTAGAAGATTATCATATTGTTTATATTATAGGTCAATATACTATAAGAGGAGTTCCTGAAAGTTATGCAGTGTTAGGTGAAAATTATAGATTACAATGTGATGTTACAGATTCACCTTCTGGAGTAGAGTTCCGTAGAAACAATATTGTTGTATGTAATATGATAAACTGTGAGAGTAGTTCAACAGATAATAGATATAAATGTCGATGTATAAATAATAACAACAAACAACTATATCTCAATATAAGTAATATAAATAAACAAGATGATACAACATGGTCTTGTAGAGGTAATTCTGGTGGACAAGGATCAATTACTATACTAGTTTATTGTAAGTTTATTTTAATCTCAGTTTATTTTTCAGATTATCATTCACTAGTCAAACTGACTCGATAATACACACTTAATTCATCATTTTCTGTGAAGGAAAACATATACGCCCATCTTACGTGTGGGCGTATAAAAATGTCCTTTCTCATTTTATGAGCAGCGTTATTTGGTTAAATTCAATCGATAAAATAACAATAGAAAAATTAAAGTGATTTTTACAGATGGTCCAGAGAATATAAGATTTAACCCTACTAGTGATAATATAGATGTTATAGAAGGAAAGAGTCAGAGTGTCAACTGTTTAGCTGATTGTAAACCAGATTGTAACATCAACTGGTCTAAAGATGGTTCAACAACAATTCTAAATAACCCTTTATCACTTAGTACTAGAAATCAAACTGGTTCTTATACCTGTACATTTACACATACTGTATTAAATAAACAACTTACAAAACAACTTAATGTTCAGATTTATTGTAAGTATATTATACTTTATTAATAAATACTAGAGATCAAACTGGTTCTTATATCTGTACAGTTACACATACTATATTAAATAAACAACTTACAAAACAACTTAATGTCCAGATTTATTGTAAGTATATAATACCATAACATGTTTAACTGAATTTTATTATTTCAGATGGTCCTGATGAACTGACTTTCTCACCAGATGTAACAAGTATCAATATAATAGAAGGTAGAGATCAAACTATAACATGTTTAACTGATTGTTATCAGTGTAATTATAAATGGACTGGACCTGTTTCATCACCAACTAAAGATCTTGTATTGACTCAAATAAAAAGAAATCAGGAAGGAAACTATAGATGTGAAGCTACCAATATTAAAAATACCATCCCTAAAACAAGATCTAAATCTATACAAGTTAATGTACATTGTAAGTATATATTTATTATATGACCCACCTCTCTATGTCAATGTATAATCATAAAAAAAGAATTGGGCATTTTCTGATAATATTGTTATTGTGCTCGACTGAAAAGCTACTTTTAAATAAATGCAAACGTCTTGATAGATATTTTTCAAAGAGTATTGCTGAAAGACTAAGCTTTTGATGTTTCTCAGTACTTTTGCACGATCACAACTTTCATCCACTAAAAATATATACGAAAAATGCTAACAATTGATTTATCCAAACATCACAAAAATCTATAGGCATCATCCTTGGCACGGTCCAAACCTACGGAAACAATCTGTCAAAGATTGATGCCTTTAAAGTGAGCATAAATTTGATATAAACAGATCAACGGAAAATGTTAGGACTCATTGTTTGCTGAATGGGCATATAAAATTCTGACTATGTTAAAGATTATTAATTGCCTTACTTCTGTTTCAGATCCACCTGATATAACCAGTGTAACATCTGATGCTGTAAATAACGAAACTGATGAAGGTTCTGATATCACATTAAACTGTAATGTTGATAGTAAACCAGTATCTACTGTAACCTGGTCATCTTCTACTAGTACTGATACTAACACTGGTCAACAGTGGACATTAACACAAGCAAAATGTCAGGATACAGGAATCTATACATGTACAGCTAATAATGGTATTGGTCAATCAACTACTAAATCCTTACCATTAAATATTAGATGTAAGTTTATGTTAAGTCAGTATACTATAATCTATACATGTACAACTAATAATGGTATTGGTCAGTCAACTACTAAATCTTTACCATTAAATATTAGATGTAAGTTTATATTTAGTCAGTATACTATAATCTATACATGTTCAGCTAATAATGGCATTGGTTAGTCAACTATTAAATCTTTACCATTAAATATTTAATGAAAATACATATCTAGTCCGTATATTATAACCTATTTATGTAGAGCTAGTAATGGTATTGATCATTCAACTACGAAATCTTTACCATTATTGTTACGGTATTGTTTGTATTTATAGTTCACCAAATAGGAATAATCGACCATGGTCTCATAGAGGAGGTTTTCGTATCACCTGATGCACAACTTTAATAGTTCTAAGATTGGTTTGTCTGACCAATTGTCCTACTCAAGTTATGCATTATGTTCTAACGGCTAAGCCGTGTATAATGGAATTGTGTAAACTATGCCTAGCCTAAACCTTATTTGCTATTAGAAGACTATATATTTAACTTGTTACAATCCCTGAATGAGGTTTAGTTTTTATCGATAAGTAGTAACACTGTTTTACATTTACTATAAAAGGTCCACCAATACTTAAAGAAGAACTGAAGAAAGAAAAAAGAGGAAAAATTGGAGAAATGGTATTATTAGAAATAAATATAGAAGCTTATCCTGAACCAAGTTTTATATGGAAACAGTTGATGTCTGATGTAGAATATCCCTTTGTTAAAACAGAGAAAGTTTCTGAAAATAATTTTATATCCACATTAGAATTGATATTAGATCAATCATCGTTTGGTTATTATATAATTACTGTACAAAATATTATTAATGGTGAAACTAAAGCAAAAACCTGGGGAATAAAAATCATTGAACTCGGTAATTTTATTTGTATAATTTGACAATGATTTCATGAATTTTTAACTTCATCATCATAATCCAATTAGTGAATATCATATACTTATTAATGATTTTAACGAGTGTATAAAAATGAAATTAAATGTATGTTAAAGGGGTAGTATGTAAAATTGTCATTATCTAATGAATACAATTAAATGTATTGAGTAAATTCATAAGTTGAATGAATTCAATAAATTCACCAGTTGAATGTATAGAGTAAATTTATCACTTGAATGGACGGAGTAAATTTATAAATTGAAAGAATTTAGTTAATTTATCAGTGAATGTATTGAGTAAATTTATAAATTGAACGTATTTAGTTAATTTATCAGTGAATGTATTGAGTAAATGTCTCAGTTGAATGTATTGAGTAAATTTATCAGTTGTATGTATTGAGTAAATGTATCAGTTGAATGTATTGAGTAAATTTATCAGTTGTATGTATTGAGTAAATTTTTTAGTTGAATGTTTTTGGTAAACTTAATATACCGGCAAGTCAAATTCATTTAATTTATTCCACAGACCCTGGAACAATATCTTATGAACAATCTGGATATCAGGAAGGTTTAGGAACTGGTATTGGAATTGGTATTGGAATATCTGTTATGTGTTTATTTCTGGTTTTACTAACAATATTTATATATAGAAAATATCATCCAGGTATTGGTTTAACTGTACTTTGGGGATCTTTAAAAAAAAAGAACCATATGAAATTTTCTATTGAGAATTATTCTATCATTAAATAGTCAATTTTAGTTACCCTTGTTTCTTTTCAGAATTACAATCTGACTTAATCTTCTCCTACATTCTGTCAGAATTGTGGCATTTGACAACCATTTATATTCTCGTGGGCAATTATTACAGGGCTTAATTAGTAACACTACAAGGTCAATGTCAATACTTCCGCGAAAAAGTTATGTTTAAATTCCTAATGAACGTTTTATTTAATTGTATGTTGGTCGGGTGTCGCATTTGAATGTTGAAAAGTATTCCGGATAGTTGAAATTGAGTCTTGTTAGTTGGTTTAACAATTTCTTAAATTCTTATACTGCTTTAAATATAAATTAATCTAATTATTTTTTTTTTTATTTTGTAGCCAATAAGAAATTACCAGAAGAAAGTTGAGTTATATTTCTTTCCTGATCTGGAACTTCTATTCCATTGACCTACTATATCAACATTTTCAATCTGTATGGTTATTCTGATGATTATGTTCTTGTCGAAATTGAAGTCATTATATAACAACGATCATTACATTCACACAAAGAATATCAGCCGCAGACTGGTTTGATTGAGAAAA